GTAGATGTTTGCCCCCGCGGCACGTAGCCACAGCGTGGATCTCAGGGTGCAGCACCCATGGCTGGGTCACGGCGAGACCCCCGGGGAGAGGAACCTCAGGGTGCTCCAACCCTCCCAGGACAGGCGGCTGGGGACACCACGCTGGCCAGGATGGGGACCAGATGGGGACCATACCTGCAGCATGTGTTGCATGTGCACAGCTGGATGCATGCCCAGATGTGCACCCAGGGCTCTGTGCACCCGCCCGGGTGCCGTGGCTGCAGTGTGTGCATGCGTGTGCATGCATCTGCATGCGTATGTATGTGTGTACACGCACATTCATTTGCACGCATGCATCTGCATGCATGTGCACGCGTTCACGTGCATGCATGTGTGGGTCTTTATGCACATGCATGCATGTGTGCATGCAGCGCGGGGTGTGCGTGTCCATGTGCATTCATTTGCACACGTGCATGTGCATGAATCTGCATGTATGTGCGTGTGTGCATGCATGTGTGTCTGCATGTATGCGTGGGTGTGCATGCATGTGTATTCATTTGCACACATGCATGTGCGCGTCCTTGCATGTATGTGCATTTGCATGCACGTACGTGTGTGCATGTTTGTGCGTGCGTGCATGCATGCGCATGCTGTTGCATGCATGCATGTGCATGCACCTGCATGTATGTGGACGCCTGCATGCCCCTGTGTGTCCCCGGCTCTCGGGGGTGTCCCCAGTCGGGGGGACCCCCCGGTCCCTCCCCCGCCCCAGACCTGCCAGGAGCAGCGGGCACGGTCCTCCAAGGCGGCAAGAGTGGCCCCTCTGGGCGGCGCTCTGCCCCGCCCCTCTCACTTCCCTGCCCTACGACTTCCCGGAAGCGCCAGCGGAGCAGCGGAACCCGGAAGTGCCGCTGTGGCCGGTGCCGGCGGCGGGTGGGTGGCGGTGGGTCCGGTCCCGCCATGGCGGGTACGGGCGGCTGAAAATATCACCGGGGGCACGGGTGGCGGCCAGCCGGACCCAGAACTGCGGGGGCACCCCCGCTGCGGGCCATGGCGGCGGCGGCAGCGGCGGGCTCCAACTGGGGCCTGATCATGAACGTGGTGAACAGCATCGTGGGGGTGAGCGTGCTCACCGTCCCCTTCTGCTTCAGACAGGTGAGCGCTCCGCCGCCGTCCCGGGACGACGGGCCCAGCAGCTTGGCCCCTCGTCGCCATCTCCAGCAGACGCGGGCGGGGCCGGGTACTCCCGACAGAACTCCAGTCTGGGTAGAGGATAGATGGAGAGCAGCCCCGAGGAGAAGGACTTGGGGGTGTTGGTGGATGAGAAGCTCAACATGACCCAACAACGTGTGCTGGCAGCCCAGAAAGTCAACCGCGTCCCGGGCTGCATCCCCAGCAGCGTGGCCAGCAGGGCGAGGGAGGGAATTCTGCCCCTCTGCTGCGCTCTGGGGAGACCCCCCCCTGCAGTGCTGCCTCCAGCTCAGGGGGTCCCAGCACAAGAAGGACATTAACCTGTTGGAGCGGGGTCAGAGGAGTCCCTGGAGATGCTGGGAGGGCTGGAGCCCCTCTGCTGGGAGGACAGGCTGGGAGAGTTGGGGGGTTCAGCCTGGAGAAGAGAAGGCTCCAGGGAGACCTTAGAACCCCTTCCAGTGCCTAAAGGGGCTCCAGGAAAGCTGGGGAGGGACTTATTAGCAGGGAGGGGAGCCATGGGACGAGGGGGAATGGTTTAAAACCAAAAGAGGGGAGGTTTAGGTGAGATATTTGGAAGAACCTCTTGCCTGTGCGGGCGGTGATCCCCTGGGGCAGGTTGCCCCAAGAAGCTGTGTCTGCCCCATCCCTGGAGGTGTTCAAGGCCAGGTTGGACGGGGCTTGGAGCAACCTGGGCTGGGGGGAGGTGTCCCTGCCCAGGGCAGGGGGGTTGGAACTCGATGATTTTTAAGGTCCCTTCCAACCCAAACCATTCTATGATGCTATGATTTTATTACTTGTGCTTGTTTACATTCACCTGCTTAAAAAGCGTGCAGTGTTTGAACACTGTAAACATGTGAATCAGCAAGGCAGCACAGTGCTGGCAGTGAGCTTGGTAATTAGTTTACACTACCAGACAGTTCTTATTAAATAAGTTTACAACAGAGTTTGCACCTCAGGGTTAGGAGTGGTCTCTCTTTGCTCTCTGTGAACCTGCTGAGAGCTGCGGAGACCGCTGGGGGATGAACGAGGGGAGCTGTGGATGTTCTGCTCCACAGATGGCTCCCACTTCATTCTTTGGTGCTTAAATTGGTGCAACTGGAACCTGTGGGAAACAGGCAGCTGCTCTGTCTTGTCCTTGGGCTGCAGAGTAAAATTGTGCTCGTACGCCATGTTTCTCCCGGCTGCTCTGAAGTCGAGGGAACTCATTTAACAGGCAAAAGTGTGGCTAGAAATATGCGAGGGAGCCTGAAGGTGATAAGGGTCAGCAGTAAGGCTGCGTGGAATTACTGACTTTCCATCTTGCGCTTGTCTCTTCCCCCGTCTTCTCCCCTTTTAGTGCGGCATTGTCCTGGGAGCTCTGCTGCTGATTTTCTGTTCTTGGATGACTCATCAATCCTGCATGTTCCTGGTGAAATCAGCCAATCTCAGCAAGCGCAGGACCTACCCTGGCCTCGGTGAGAATTTTCAGCTCTAGGGCTTGGTTGTCATCTTTTTTTTTAACTGCGGTTTTACTTTGACCTCTTAATTTACAACTTTCATACTGATATTGTTGGAATAGCAAATGGTTTCTTGATGTAGTTTTCAATTGGCGTTGTTTTCCTCTGTCAGTCTCTTCCCCCCTGCCCCACGTCCCCAGGGAAACGTGAGGGTTTAATTCTGCTCTTGACAGTGAAGTTAATAGGCGCAGAATTGTTTTGACTCTGCAGGGCAGGGGAGGAGACGCAGCGCTGACTGATCAAAACCCAAGTTTTCGGGAGCTGGCGTAGTGGGTGTCTGGTGTAAATTATTGGTCTCGGCATGAAAGCCGCGAGCTTCCCCACCCAGTGTGCTGCCGAGGACATCGGGTTCTGCCAGTGGAGAGCCTGGCATGGAGCTCGGGCTGCCGGGATCCGAGCTGTGTGCGCGTTTATGGCAGAGCGGAGAGGAAACAGCGCGCAAGGTTCCAAGTGGCCAAGAAAATAAAAACATCTGCAAGATTCATGTGTGGGTTTTTGGCAGAGCCTGCCAGCCCTCTTCCTCGGAGCTTGTTGCCTCTGCACTGGCGCCAGGGTTGGCCTCTGCTTGCGACCTCTCTGCTGATTCTGACTGACTCGGGGGGCAGGAGGAGGTGGTCGGGTTCCAGTCCTCTCTGTTGGCATGGGAAAGGACAGGAAAAGTCGTCTTACTCCATTTCCCTTATTTCTCTGGGGGAGGAGAGAGTTGGCTGGCATTGCCCTTGGTAAAAGAGCTAAAGAAACGCATGGCTTACTCACTGACCCTGTTGTTGACAGATGGGTTTCCTCCATCCTCGGAGTGCCTGAGGTGCTGCTACCAGGCTGCAAGTCTTGGCTTTTGCCAAGTTATAGCTGCTAGAAATTGAAAAGATCAAGAAGTTCCATGGTCTTAGAGGCTGTGCCTGTGATGCTGGAGGGAAGGGGGAACCCCCAGGTAGTGTCCGACTTGTCCCCACTGCTCCCAGCCCAGCTGCCTGGGTTGCCTCTCCCTGCACCCTCACAACACGTCTTTGTGTGCCGCTTCCCCGAAGAACAGAGAGTCCCCTCCACCTTGGAGCGTCTCCCGGGAAGAAGGGATCCTCCGCACTCTCTGAAGCCAAGGGGCTCGAATACAGAGAGGGCCAGTAATGCTTCTAAACTTCCTGGCACGCAGACGCTGGCGCTGAAAGAAATGCCTCTGCCCTGGGAGAGGTGCCACGGGAGGGACAGCCCTGAGAGGAAAGGCATCGCTCCTATAATGCATCCTAATGCATCAAGGTTGAGCAACTCCACACAGACAGCCTTTGTCACCGTGGGCTTGTGCCCTGGTACATCTGCGAGAGATCCTGGCAGCCCTTGCAGCTGATTCTGTGGGAGGCTTTGGCAGCGCTGAAAGATGTAAGAAAGTTTTGCAAATTAACTTCAGTCAGCCAGTCCCTTCCGGAGGAACACTGAGAGCGATCGTTACAGCTACAAAAGAGCCAGGGTCGTAACGGGCTGATATCTAGCCCAGACGTCTTCTCTTGGCAGCGCTCTGCGTGAAGGGGTTGAGTATTAAAAATATTTTGCTCTTCACTGCTGTTCTTCTGCACTGTGTGGAAGGGAAGGGCCTCAGGCAGATGTGTGGATAAGAAGGGAAGCGGGATGCAGTTCCCAGGTAGACTTTAACCAGGAGATGAGTTAATGCCTCGCCTTACAGCAGCTGAGAGCGGCCTGGGTCTTTGCAGACTACCTGTGCTCGGCACCGACCCCGTCAGCAGCACGCTGCAGCCCCGGGAGGCAGCTCGGCTCCGTTCCCTCCAGAGAAAAGTGCTGAAACACAGGTTGTCCATTATAATAACCACACTTGGTTTAAAAGGGCTTCTTTAATTACTGAGCAGATTGAGCTCTGCCCAGCTTGTTAGGCATCTAGAGATCCCATTCCAAAGATGCTCAGCTGTACAATTTATTTTATGGTCATCGTCTCTTTCCTCCTTGAGAAGATAAAGGATCAAATTTTTCCAGTGTCCCCAGATGGGGACATCTGGCATAACGTTTGAAGGCTTGTTCTCATTAGAACATCACTTCAGAACAGCCAAGGAGACTGATTGTTTCTCAGCATCTTTGGCCTGGGCTGTCGCCGGCAGCTGTGGCTGTTTTCGGGGGGCACGTACCTTTCTGTGTGATGCGAAAAAGGAGCTCACGGGAGCAGTGCAGCAGCAGCAGTCCTGGAGGTTGGCTCATTAATGACCCGGCCTCCAGGAGGGATGTTTCCCTCGCGCTGGTTCCTCTCTCTCTCTCATCCCTGGCCCTTTGGCTGTGTGGTTGAACCCCCTAAGGGCTGTTCCCTTTTCCCCTTATCGTCGCAGTTCCCAAACGAGCTGAGAGCTGGAGGCCGAAGCAGTGCGGTTGCTGTTCGAGCCATTGGCTATTTTCGGTGCGACCCCACATAGCAGCTCCGGTTTATTTTTCTGCTGTGGGTCTCCTGCCATGCCTTTTTTTCTCATTCTGTGGGAGAACATCTTGTTTCCTTAATTTTGAGCTCAAGCAGAGTCCAAAGAAATCAGAGTTTGTAAGTTAATATTTAAAATAGCAGAAGATGCTTCCAGAAGCGAATAAAGTTTGTTTTCTGGCGGTCTCCAGGAATGTGTGCTGTACCTTTGGAGAAGACAAAGGGGAGTCCAGGGTGGCGGTTTTCATGTTGGACTGACAGTTAAAGACTGACAGAGTTGGGCAATGTGGTCTGTGTTTGGAACTGGAGGTCTCAATTCCCATTCTACCCAGTAAGATCTAAAAATACAAGCGGAGTTTTCTTGGCATTTTCTTTTTAAGAAAAAACACGATGATTTAAAGACTACTGATCATTTTCTGCTACAAGCTACAACCCAAGTATGGGAGGGGAAAAAAAAAAAAGTCTCTTGGCAGCAGCCCTTTGGTGTGGGCTGGGAGTACTGGGTATTCTGGGTATGGGATTGAACGTTCTGGGCACCATCTCAGCTCTCCCATCCAGCAACGTTCAGTTATAGTGGGAAGATAAAAATAAAAATGAGAGTTTGATTGAAATTTTGCACTGCAGTAACTTTGCCACACAGCATCTTATACATGCATATTTTCTCTTCCGTGCTGACTTTCTTTTAATGGTTGCCATGTGTGACTGCTACTTCACACTACTTTTTTTTTTTTTTAAATAGGAAGAAAAAAAAAAAAGAACCTGCTTTCTATCTTTCCCTCATCTTTGTTCCTGTCTTATGTGGTTTTCAGTTTGCAGAGGGCATGTCTGAAAAAGAAAGTGGGAGGGTGAGCAAGGGAAACAGCCCCAAAACATGACACTGGTGGGTTCCTGCTGCACTGCCCTTTGTCACTCTTATTGTTTAATTTCAAACTGATGCGTGTGCCACTTTCTGGACCTTTCTTTACTAACTACAACTTTTTTTTTTTTTTTTTCTCTTACACCAGCATTTCATGCCTATGGAAAAGCAGGAAAAATGTTGGTGGAAACAAGGTAATCTGCTGCCTATTTAAATCTTGAATAGTTTGGTTTTCTTTAATGAAAAATACTGCTCTGTAGCCTCTTGTGGCCTTGCTGCGCTCTCGTTTCTTACCCTCCTGTCTCCTCTGGTCCCAGAAGTCTTCCTTGCCACCTAGAATTTGAACAAGAGCTTAAGTGAGATTCCGTAAGCACAGCTCACAGGTGTTGCCTTCAGCGTGTCCCACCCGTTCCTGAGCGGAGACAGGAGCGCTTTCCAGGCAGTGGGAGCACAGAAGTTGGGGAATGAACTCATCTCCCGCTCTGCTGTGTGCTATGAAATCATGGGCATGTCGCTTGTGGCCGATTTCCAGGGGTGAAATCCCTGCCAAGATTGCCGTGAGTTAGTGGGAGGGAGAGCGTTCAGTACCTCGGATCCACCCTTTAGCTGCTCCGCTCCTGCCCGCTTCTCGCAGTGGGCACCGCTTTTCTCTGCGAGGCGCCGGCCGTTAGAAGGTGTCTTGTGCGGGGAATCCTGTCTCCCTTTCAGGACAGACCCCTGTCCCTCAGATGACCCCCATGCAAGTAGAAGGTCCCCTGCAGGTCTTGTTCCGCAGTTGTGGTGGGCGATGGGACGTCGTTACAGAACGGCTTTTTCCAGCAGAGATTCTTTGGTGGAGGCGTCTTGAGCCCAGGCCAGTCAGTGGTGCTGGCTCCGTCCCTCTTCCCAGCTACAAACTGCTGCAGAACACTAAAAATACACAGAATATTTCTCAGATGTTACTTGTCCGTGCAAGCAATTCCCGTAATTGCCACAGGGATGTTATATAATTGGAACTGGGAGGGAAAGTGGTCCATGCAATCATGAATGGGAGGAGAAGCAGCGCATAGGACAATCTTTTCATTAAAGTGTGGTCCATTTTTGTGGAGTGAAGTTTGAGAGCTGATTTGGTATCGAGACTTTCATGGTAGGCCCCTGCTGCGGGGCGTGGGGCTGAGGGAACCTCTTGCTGATTCTTTTAAACGTTTTTCCAAGAAATAAAGGAGTTTTGCCATCTCCAAGGTCTTGTTTTTCCTGTGGCTCCAAGCAGCAGTTAAACCCATGCATGGCTTGTTACCAGAGTGGCACCTCTAGCCAAGATGTTAGGTGTGGATGCGAGGTGGATGGAGGTTCTCTGGTTTTTATTTTACTGGGTTGAACGCAGAACTGGTGGCTTGCCCTTCACAAGCCCGAGGATGAAAGCGTGGTCCTCCCCTCTAGCACCGGTAGTGATGCACAGCCTGCCCATACCGCTGTGGGAGCGAGCTCCCAGCCCACTCTATCCCCGTAGATGGAAAATCCACTTGATTACTGGCTGCCAAACGTGTTTTCCAGTGTGGGTTCCGCAAAATCTGTGGCTCATCTTCACCGTGAAAGTCCAGAAAGTTGTGTTAGAGGATGGGCGTGTGCTGAAGCAGGGCACGCCAAGGCTGCCCTACCTCTGAACACAAGCAAGTGGTTGCGCAAGATTTTAAGTCAGTTTAAATGTACCCTTTTAGCTGTTTCTCTTTACCTCTTCTGGATGTTCCTTGGCAAACGGGGGGCGCAGTAGGATCCTAAGCAATCTTCAGCTGTTGCGGTTGTGTGGAGGGTGTAGCCCTGGAGACCTTTTTGGTGCTCAACCTTTGTCTTAATCCTTCACCAGCCACTGCAGTGTACGTAGGATGTCTTTTGCTCCCAGTGTATGAACTGTAGCGATATTCTCACTGCTCATGTGTCATCGGCGGGGGGGGTCCCGGCAGTCCCAGCAGTGCCTCAAGGTGTCTCTGAGGCAGCTTTAGCATGACCAAGGCCTTTTACTTCACAAGGGCTGTGCAGAGCACAAATCCACTGGGAACGTGGCTGCTCGCACAAACCTGCCCGGGAGCAGGAGCTGCGTGCCAGAGTTCCTGCTCCGGCCTCCTAACCTGGGTGTATTTTGTTGGTTTTTGCAGCATGATTGGGCTGATGCTGGGAACTTGCATCGCTTTCTATGTTGTCATTGGTGATTTGGGGTCCAACTTCTTTGCCCGGCTGCTTGGATTTCAGGTAAATAAATCCTCACTGGATGCCATCCCCTATGCAGACAGTGGTCCCAATTCTTCTTGCATCGAACCGTGTGTGCCTCAGATACAGCAACGAGCTTAGCAGTGCGCTCGGCAGCCCACGAGGCATCACGAGGTCATCTCATGGTGAGCTTTAACGGCACGCCTTGCGCACAGAGCATTTAGCTCTATGAAGTCCTGGAAGCCCAGACATATGGCGAACAATCAGATGTGTAAAACCTCCAATAAGGCACTTCAACAAAGGAATTCTTTTCAACTTGGCCTCTATTAATTCTGGAGCAGATTTCTGGAGGAGATGATGCTTCCTGTCTTAATTCCTGCCCCTAACGGGTAGTGACAGACAGTTGCTTTTTCCGAGCTCTCACCCCCTTGCAGCCCTCTAGTTGAAGAGGGATTTTTGTCCTATTTTGGTGGCCAAATTTACTGGGCGCCTGCCTCCTCTTTAAGATAGAATAAGCTGTGTGATGATCCCGGTGTTGGCTCAAGACGTGTGGTGGCGAGAAGTGCTCCTCATTAGCTGGAGGCTCTTGCTGCTCTTCCTGGGGAGCTGCGAGCCGGGGTGCGGGCGGCAGCGCTCGGGGGCCGGCGCGAGGGCCCTGCGGGGAAGCAGAATGGGCACGTGGAAGCATTTTTGGCGGGGCTGCTATCTGCTCTGCCTGATGCTGCTAAGCTCCGATTAAGGGACTGTGAAGTTAAAAAGATGCGTTGTGGCTGCAGCCAAATTAGGTATTAAATATTTCCAAGCATTTGAGAGTGTTCTGCTATAATAAATACCAATGCGAGGTTTTGATTAGTTTTCTGGATCAGAATTTTCAAGACTTCAATCTCTTGTTTCCCACGTAAGTTTAGTTTTTATTTAATTGCATGAAAATACCAAAATAGCTTGTGCTGGAATAGCATTTAAACACAACGCTCCCCCCAAATACTTCCATTTCAGGATGGACCTGTCACGCACTGTGTAGAGCAACAGTGGCACCCAGTGACTGTATAAGCTAATCACAGACCTAGCCAAAGAAATGGCAAGCTTTCAGCATCAAATCTTTAAATACAGACAGAAGCAGTATTTCACCTTTGAAACCCATCCTGGCTTTGCATTGTTTCTCACTCTGGAAAAATGGATGGCGTCAGGGATGCTAATTTGGTGGGATGTTTTGAGTATCCTGCGTGCTCCAGTTCTTTATGCAGGTCCCTTTTCCAGGTGTCGGGCAGTTTCCGGATAGTTCTGCTCTTTGCTGTCTCCCTGTGCATTGTACTTCCATTGAGCCTCCAGAGGAACATGATGGCCTCTATACAGTCATTCAGTGCCATGGCTCTGATCTTTTACACGGTGTTCATGTTCGTGGTGAGTATTGGCGTTGGGAATGTTGTTTTCCTATTGTTTTAACACAGATGTTCCCGCTGGGACAGCCTGCAGGTGCGGGCCTCAAGTTTAAAATGTCCTTCCTGATAATTAGCGCTGCTGGTGCCGGGCATAACGAGCGATCCGGGTGCCCGTGCTCTTGAGCTGGCGGAGGTGGGGAGGTACAGGCTGTAGGAACTGGCCAGTGGGTCTGTAAGCAATTACAAATGCTAGGGACTGTGGTGGCACAAATAATAATAAACCACAAATCGAGTTGTGGTTTATTCTGCTTGTCGGTGTCTATAATTTAGGGCTCTGAACTTTAAATCAAAGGATGGAAGATGTGGGGAAGAGTGCCTGGAAGCAGGAGGACTTTGATCATGCGTTAGTGTTTTGCCTTGAAAACCTCAACGCTTCTAATCTGTAAGGGGGAGGCAGCTCTGGTTAAGAACTCAAGCATGTACTTTGCATGCTTTTTTGCAGCTGATGGTTAATGTTTTTCAGGCTGCAAGTAGTTTTATTTGTTAGACACCAGCACTTCTATTTTTAAGCATTGAAAGCTTCGTGAAGTCTTAAGTCTGGTACGTGGCATATACTTGTTCTTAGATATTTCTAGAAAAGTGTTTCTTCACTGAGGTGAATGGATTCTTGACCATTTAGATTAAGTAGGGTAAGCTGAGAGTTACCCAAAGCTGCCCTGTTTGCCTCGGCCAAGCCCCGTTGTGTAGCACCATTTACTGAGAGGTGGAGACTTTCACTTGCTTTTGAATGACTTCAAGTTTCACCTCGCGGATGCCCACGTGGTTTGCTCGTGGAGCCCCAGCCCCGTCTCTCCCACATCTCAGGACTGGAAGGGCTGAAACAAAAGGAAGAAAAGGGAGGTGGTAACATTCTTTCCACGTCACTTTTTTCCGTGGGTTGTGCTGGGTCATGCTTCTGAGCTTGCCTCTGTCAGGAGGCTGGAAACTGTAAATGAGTGTTTTTATAAAACTGCTGTGTTCCAGGAGCTGTGCCTTTAAGAAAGCCACAACATTTCATGAGAGTTGGCTGCACTAAAACATAATCTCTGGGGATTAGAAAACCCCCATTCAGGCAATATTATAAACAGGCATTCAGACATATTTACCTTCTGTTTCCTGTGCAACCCAATGCCTGCTGGTTCCCCTGTCAATGGCAAAAGAGCTCCCCTGGCCTCCTCTGGGTGCCTCGCTCCCCCCGTTTTCCTGAAGTTTGTCCTTGTCTTCGGTGAACTGCTGTTGTTAAATGGCTCTGGACTAGCAGTGTGCAGGTGGGGGTCCTGTTTTAGGAACCTTTGTCTCTCTGTTGAACAGGACTCTCCAAGGCAAATGTCGCTTCCCGTTTGGATTTAAAAACGTGTTTAAAAGACTGCAAAAGAAATTGCTGGGAACAATAACTCTCAGAGTTAAATGTGTCAGTGGAAATTGTTCCACCCTGGTGCGTGCTATGATGTCTGATGGCATCAAACAAGGGGGAGATGCCATAGATCTTTTAAAACATACCCGGGGATCCTTGGTGGCAGGGGGCCCTGGGAGGTCGCTGCGAGCTTTAATAAAGCGTGTGGGTGGGGTGGGGAGCTGGGGAATTTGAGTAATAGAGATCGGGCTGTGGTAGGCAGCGTAAGCTGTTCCTCTCAGAGCTGCCACACGCTGCTTTTTATCCCAGCACCAGTGTTACTGCTGCCGTGAAGTTGTTCTGGGTTAGATCTTAACCCCTTTTCTTTCTCTTGGCTACAGATCGTGCTGTCGTCCTTCAAGCATGGCCTCTTCAGCGGGCAGTGGCTGCAGCGAGTTAGTTACACTCGTTGGGAGGGCATTTTTCGCTGCATCCCCATCTTTGGCATGTCTTTTGCCTGTCAGTCGTAAGTACCTGCCGTTCCCACTTCTGGCAGTTGTGGTCCGCAGTGAGTTTTTGTGAGGGCAGAGGGTCACGAGGATCTGCAAGGGATAGATACCATCTGGTTTCCTATTCTATTTTAATCAAAATATTTTACAGCCCACTGAAGTACAGCATCTCATTCAGTTGTGACCCTTTTGTTACCTGGATGGGGGAGGGAGTTATATTTCACTTGGGAGTTATTGTACTTGAGCAACACAAGATCATTTGGGCCAAACAGATCCTCAGTGTAATGCACGTTGCTTCTGGTACAGCTGCGTAAGTGATGAATTTCCCCAGTATCTTGAAGGGAATGATTTAGTACCAGAAAAAGCAGCGGGGCCGTGTCGCCTAATGGCCGCAGGGCCCCCTGCAGGGTAGCGTACACTCACGGCTGCTCTCTGCTTCCCTGAATTTCTTTGAGAATCCTCAGAAGATTGCACAGTCGTTGACTTTGTAGAATTGTTCACGCATTTCCAGTTACCTGCTTTTAATGAGGGCTTCCGTTGGCACGTGGAAGGACGTGACAGCAGACCAGGCTATTTTCACGTTTCTAGCAGCATTACCTTCTGCACCAAAATGGCAAGTGAGCAATACGTGTCTGGACAGAATAGTAACAGACTTTAAATAGAAGTGTAAATCCAAATGTGGACACGGAAAAGACCATCCTCATTTGGAAGGCTGGCAGAGTCGGGCTTTCCCCCCTGTAGTTCTAGCGAATGGGTAGCATGCCAACAGTAAATGAATGTGACAGATAAAATTTGTTCAGACTGCTGTGTTTACACCCACACGCAAGATCCAAATCATCATTTTCCACTTATCGGCTCTCTTGGCAGCTCAGTTCCTACCCGAACACGTTCCAGTCTTGCTGTTTAATGTCTCCATTACAACTGGCGAAGGGAATTGTATTCTTTTACAGCTTTACCTTGTTAACATTTTAGAGTTTTTAAATTCCTTTTTTTTTTTTTTCTTACGGTACCCACACAGTACCCAGTACAATTTTGCTGGGAGCTGGAAATGCAGTGAAATCGTTTGGTCTGGACCAGTGTCCACGTACCTAAATATAGGCTCCATTACAGCACTTACGTGGCAAGCTGAACCTAAAGCTATGTGTTTTTTTCCAAACATCAGAGCAATACACTGGCCCCAGCCCAGTCAATCTTTATAAACATGTTATTGTCAGCTAGGTAGGTTTAATTTTAAAAAATAATTCTAACATAAAGCAGAAATCCTTTTCCTTCGGCACATAGTGCAGCATACAGTAAGGCCAAATAAATGCACTATTATTCTAGCTTGAAACACTTGACCCTACTTTACTTGTGGGTTCAATCCCCTTCGCTCTTTAAAAGCTGTCCTGTTGTTGCTGATGTTGCAAAGTAGGTCATTTCTCTACAGTTATGTAGGGTAGAAATTTGCTGCGGAGCTGAGAGCTGGGAGTGCGAGCACTCCGGGGTTACCTCTGCTGCAGCCTCCTCGCGTGACCTTGGTCAAGTCGCTGAACCTTCCCATGAAAGAGGAGTCAGTAGAGCTTTCCAGGAGAAAACTTCTCATTGCGGGGGGTGGCTGTTCTGGTGCGGATGGATGCGAAAATGCTGAATTCACAGGGATGATAAAAGTCAGGGGGGCGTTCATTGCCTCTGTGAGCATCAGTTCCCTGCAGGCTGAGTCAGTGCCGGCTCGGAGAGCCTCTGCAAGGCGGTCCCTAGAGTGAAGGTGAAGAACAGATACTCCGAGGTAGCTCTGGCCATCTCCAAAGCAAAGCTGCTTTCTCTGAGGCCACTCTTAGTGCTTGTGCTGACTTGCCTGCCCTCTGCTCAGGAGGAGCCATCTGCTTGCTCCCTCTTTGAGGTGCAGCGTAACAGATAACGCGGGGAAAGGTCCCTGATCCTTTGCTGGTCTTCAATGCAGTCATTTTGCTTAAAAATAAACGCCGGGCCTGTCAGGACATGCTGCTTGTCACATGCTTCTTGTCCTCTTGCCCTGCCTTGGGAGGTGGTGATGGTCAGGAGGGCCCAGCGGCGCGTTGTGGGGGCTTGAGGGACGCTGTGCTGGTCCTCCAAACCCAAGTTGGCCAAATATTCCTCATTAGGTGATCGCAGGAGACAGGAGACCTGGGTGCAGCTGAACTTCAGATGACACTTTTCCCTGTGTCTCTGCTGTTGCTCCTGCCCTAACGTGGACCAGGCCTTGCTGTGCCATCCCTCACACTGTGGAGTCTCTCCGCTTCCCTCCTTTTTTCTCCTTCCTGGGCCTGGATGTTTGGCTGGCCCCTTCCCCTTGTGGGGCTGAAGTCCAGGACATAGTCGGTTAATCTAGCGGAGGTCTTTGTGTTGAGGGCAGGGATGAATCCGAAATGGAGAGGCTCCTGGGGAAGCTGGTCTCCTCGCTCCCCACCGGTGAATAGCCGTCCCGGTGCTGCATTCGCAGACCCTGCGTGTGTCTCGTGGGTTCCTGAGGGCCGACGTGCTCAGCTTCCTTTGTGCAGAACTGTTTGACGTTAAGGGATTAAGGGTTAAGGATTTTTCTGCTTGGCCTCAGCCTGACACACGTTCTGTTAATGGCTTTGTGCCCACTGGAGCTGGGGATACCCCCTTCCCATCTAACTGGAGACTCCCCCCCTCCTTCTCGTGAGAGTTCCTTCAGTAACATGAAGCCAGGATGTAGCCACTTGAATTAAAGTAACAAGAGGTTAATGAGTTGCTAAAATATGCACCTGATGTCAAAAAGTACATTCCACATGCTTTCCAAGTCTGTAAATACCCCAAATCCCGTGTAATTGGCGCTCCCAGCTTTCTATGAACTGGGCTTTAGCAGCAGCGCTGAAACATGACAGGCGCTGCATTTAGTTTTGTTTGTTTAACTTTTCTTTTAGACAGTGTGGTGCTCTAACCTTCTTCCTGCTTTTACTCTGTAAACACTGCGTTGCTTTAATTATCAGCGTAGAGAGCTCCAAGAACAATAATCTGCAATGCGCTGCCTGGCCTGGTGCCACTGGTGTTTCACTGGAACAAACGGTCATTCATTTTGCAACACTTTTGAACCAAAATGTTTACATCACACGTTTAGCTCCACGTGGTGGGGTGGGGAGAGCAGGAATATTTCTGCAACACTTAAAGTTATGAGTGTTCTGAAATCTCTTGGCATTAGCAATATAAATTGTGGAATAGCAGCGAGTGTTTATGCTCCATAGGGGGAAGGTGTCAGGGATTCTTCGCTGCTGGGCTGAGGCAGGGAACGTGCTGGAGTTGGGTTTTTCTCTCTCTCTCTGCAGAAGGTTTCCTTAAATAATTTACCCTTTTCTACAGTCAGGTCTTGCCTACCTATGATAGCTTGGATGAGCCGTCTGTTAAAATCATGAGCTCCATATTTGCTTCTTCCCTAAACGTGGTCACCACCTTTTACATTACGGTAAGAAACTTCCCCTTCTCTTTCCTTGCCAGAAGTCACGCTCTGGAGGGGCAATGGGGATGATGATTTATCTTCAGATGGGGCTGGTTTCTGCTTATCTGTATTTATTCTGAAAGATAAGTCATTTTGCTGAAAGCAAAATTAGATGGGAGACGATGAACCGAACGGTGCAGGAGGCATTTGGAGAGTCCAAATTTTCAGCGTGGCACATTTCCTTGGGCGGAGGCAGAGTGGAGACCCAGCTCTTCCCCGCGCATCAGCCCGCTCTCTGCCTTCCAGGGCCCAGCCTGGCGCTGGAGATGCTGCCCAGAGTTTAGGAGAGCTTCTTTCAGCCTGTTGCAATTGGAAAGATGTAAAGGAAGTTATGCCTCATAAAGCACCAGTTAATAAAACCGAGTTAATAATTCCTGAGAAGAGCCTGGCCCCGTGAGCTAGGCTGCTGCGGGGAATTGTTATGGCCCTTCCTTCATCGGAGGGGGCCGTTCCCTGGGCCTGGCAGCAAGCAGGGTGTCACTGCTCTTTGTCACTGGCAGTGGCAGCGTTCCCTCGCTGCAGCGTCCTCCGTGAAAGCCCCCTGTATTTGCTGAGAAACTTCCTCTGCTTTTAGGAAGGTCTCGCTATTCTTTAATCATTTGTCTCAACGTTTTGGGGGTGCTGCAGCGGGGGCTGATGGCAGGTTGCCCGTGGAGGTGGCCCCGGGCTCCCTCCTTGGCTGACTGGTCCTAACTCCTGGGAGGTCGCTGACCTCCAACCCTTTTGTAAAGAGCAGATATGAATGTGCTTGGGAGTCAAACCCCATCCGCTCACCTCCCCTCCTGCCGGACAGGTGGGCTTCTTTGGCTACGTGAGTTACACTGAAGCCATTGCTGGGAACGTCCTAATGAACTTCCCTTCCAACCTTGTGACGGAGATGATTCGAGTGGGATTCATGATGTCGGTAGCTGTGGGGTTTCCGATGATGATTCTGCCGTGCAGACAGGCGCTGAACACCCTTCTCTTTGAGCAGCAGGTAAGATCCTCTTGTGTGGCCAGGAGCAGCTGGCTGCCTTGGTGTGCACCTTTGAAAGTTGCTTTTTGAAGGGCTACTGTGACTTTTTGGCTTCTGCTGCCGGCTGCCGACCCGGGCTACAAACGTGCCTTGGTTCTCTGAGACTCCGTTGACAACTGCATATTTCTGACTTGTGGTAGGTACTCGCTATCCAGAGGGACAAACCCTCAACTCACAGTGAAATCGTAAGTGCCTGGTGTGTGGTAACAGTGCGGCGGGAGGCCCGTGGCAGCCTGTAAATCCTGCTCTGCAGAATAGTTAATCTCTGGTACTTTGAGGTTCTTGTCCTCTCTGCAGAGGAATTTCGTGGGCAGAAGTGCTGGAGCTGCGAGCCTGAAGCCTGCTGTTGCTCTGCTGCGCCCCAAGTCCCGTGGCTGCTGCTTCCCTGGGGATTTTGGCTCTCGCGCAGAAGTGTTACACAGTTCAGAGCCGAGGTGGTTCTCCCCCTCAGAAAGAGGGAGAAATGTGCTTTTGGAAACAGAGGAGCCTCCTTATTTCCTGCTGCTCCAGCTGGCATCCTTTTGCTGGCCAACTCGATCTTGCTTTGCATTTAGCTCCAGCTTCTGTTCCTGGCCTCAGAGCCCAGCCCAGCCTCATTTCTTCTTGCTTCTGTTTCTGCCTGCTCATTTCTGCTCTTTTATTATTATTCTCATCCTTGCACCTCTGTCAGTAGCCCCCTGAGTGGCCTTCTCCCCTCTGGGGTCGGGTGTCCCCTTCCTCCAGTGCCTCCTCGGGCTGTTTGGTGCTGCTCTGGCGCAGAAGCATGCGGTGGAGCAGAGCCCTCTCCCACACGTTCACCTTTCCCAGGGTCAGATCTTCAGACGGCCTTTGTGACTATAGTTGGTCTGTCTGATTTAGACTGTAAGTCCCTTGTGGCAGTAGCGTGTTCTCCTCTGTGTATTGTACGGCACTAAGCATGCTGATGGTATTCAGTAAATAACAGTAAGAGATTGTGGGAATGTTCTGAGGCCTTTGTGTATCTGCATAAATAGAAACCTCTTAGGGCAGGAAATAAAACTTGAGCAATTTATAGCTCTAAATCCTGCCACTTCTGCCTGTGAGAAGCCCCCAGCTCTTTTCTCACGTTGGGAGGGCTTGAGGATGAGGGAAGACGATCAGTAAAAGCCAGTGGGTGCAGAGGACTGAGCACTGGAAGTGCTTGGGAAGACTGAGGCTCTTGCCTGGGCTCTGCTCGGTGCTCTTTGGGCTCTGAACCGGTCACTTTGCTTTCCTCTCCCATCTGTGCGGCCAGGAGAGCGGGGACTCTCTGGCTCTCCAGGGTATGTGGGTTTGCTGCGTCCTTTGCTTTCCCCACCTCCTACTCGCAGGATGGGGATGGGACAGGAAATGGAGGGCATCTGGAAACCCTCTGGTCTCAGCAGCTCCCCAGCAGCACTGGTCATCCCCTCTGCCGTCCAGCCAAGGTGCCTCCTGCCAAGTCGGAGGAGCTGGTACATGTGTTGTAACACGGTGGGAATAACCCTGCTCCCGGAGGTGTTAGGGAACACCTTGCAGTAGCAAAACCAGAACTCTTCCCCCCGTGACCATTCTCCCTCCTGCCTTCTCAGCTGCGTGTCTTTCTCATGCCCTTGGCCTTGGGGCTGCTCGCTGAGGCTGGGCGGCTGCAGCGCTGGCACAGGGACTGGGATACAGCTGTGCAGTTCACATCTGGGGCAGGATGGAAACAGCAGCTTTGGCTCCATGCCCCCTGTCACTCTTGTTTTGAAGGTTCAAATGCAGTTGCATATTAAAACTGCTCAACCACATCTAACAGCCCCCCCTCTTAGCATTCCCCTCTGCGGAGACCATAGTGTGGAGGTGACGAAACTGCTGGAACCTGCTGGGGTAATTGCTTAGGAACTGAGATTCTGATGCAGGAACTAAACTTATTCTCCCCCTCCCGCCCTTTCTCTTCCAGCAAAAAGACGGCACCTTCGCTGCCGGGGGTTATATGCCCCCGCTTCGGTTCAAAGCCCTGACGCTGGCTGTTGTGTTTGGAACCATGGTAGGAGGCATCATGATCCCAAACGGTGAGTGAGGAGTTGGGGGCAAGGGCTGGTTGCTTGGCTGTTTTCTCTGGTCTCTTTTATTTGCTGGGGGGGATGGCCAGGCCTGCTGGGCTCGTGCCCCAGCCTGCCCGTGGGCTCGGACAGCCGCCGCGTGCTGCTGCTCTGCCTGTCCTGGAAGGGGCTTTTGCTGACTTCTCTTCTTCTTCTTTGCCAGTGGAAACAGTCCTGGGCCTGACAGGTGCGACGATGGGAAGCCTCATTTGTTTTATCTGCCCAGCTCTTATTTACAAGAAGATCCACAAGAATGCACTTTGTTCACAGGTCAGTGCTGATGCTGCTTGACATCCCCCTAAGCCCTCGGCGGGGCCTGGGAACATAGTTAATTTGACTGCAGCAGAGAAACTGCTCGGCACCTCCTCCAGCCTCCCCCTCCAGTCTTCCCAGTACAGGTGGGAGCTGTTCTGGTCGGCTGCTCTGAGCAGCATCGCTTACGGGCATGCACGCAGCAGCGGAGGAGGTGTTGGCCCAGTGCATGGCCAGCCCTGTGCTGGAACACTGGCTCTTTTTGTCCCTCCAGCTGCAAGCGAAGCATTAATTTGGTGCATAAAATGCTGCTTCCAGTCCGCCTTCTGGTGGGCTTCAGGTTCTGTATCTGCAGAATGTGAAATCCAGGCAGCCTATAAAACCTCCACGGGCTTTACATCCCAACCTGCCTGGGCTGGGTAAAATAAACAGGGTTTCTCAGCGATGCGGTTCTTGCTGCTGACCCTCTGCTTTCTGGTTTCAACCAAAATAATAATAAAAAGGAACACACACATAGAGGTGTTGCTTCAGGAATTGATTTTTTAAAAATTGGGGTCGTTCAGAGGCTATTAGAAGTTTAGCTTTCCCTTTTGCTCCAGTTTGAATTGGCCTCCTCAGGGACTGAAACAAAGTGGCTTTTTGCTGCACTTGATCTCTCTCCTTCTGCAATTCCTGTGCTTTTGTGGGGCTGAAATTAACATGTTTGGGGTTTTTTTCTGACAATAACTTAATCCACTGCCTTTTAGCAGGCCTCTGCCCCAGTGTTACCAGTCACGACAGTGCTGGGCTGGAAGTAAGGTTTTCGGCAAACTGCAGAGTCAGCAGGGGGAGAGCACGACATTTTTGTGGGTCCTACAGAACTAATGGCTTTGTCTGTGTTTAATGACTTGTGGGTTTGCAAATGTACATGAAGTTTTTAAGCGGGGTGTATTTTTTTTCTTTCCCTGTGCTTTCTCTGACACAAGGAAATAGTCCAACTTTCCAGCTTTCACTCTGAATTCTGACACTTTGGTCCTAACGTCTTTGACTGAAACCCCAAGCAGGAGTCTGAATGCCAGCCTGGATTTTTCAGGGAAACAAAGAGCACTTTCAAGAATTGCTTTCTATTCCGGCCGAGCCAGAACGTTTCTCTGCAGTGCCTCGAAACTGCACTTAGGATGTGCTGAGCTCTTAGACGGGCTGCCCAGAGGCGACTGTCAGCTGCCCAGGGTTGAACACTGGGGCCCTCACAATCCTTGACCTGAATCGCTGGTCACAAGGCCGGGGAAGATGTTTGTCCTGCAGAAATCCCCACAAAGGAATAAGGGCTTATCTAAAGCATCAGCCCCCGGGTTACCCTGGCATTTCAAGGGGCTGGTAGCAAGCTGTCCAGCCTTCTCTTGAGTGATCCATCGCCTGTCAAGTTTGCATACTTGCTTTGACCGATGCTCTGAAGTGCTGCAGCGAGGGCACACCTGCCTTCAGGAACGCGCTGGGCTGCAGAGCCCCTCCTCTGCCTCCACGCTGGAGCAGAATTCTGGGCCCACCCTCTCGTTCCTCCAGGTCTTCTGCAAAGACTCATTTATTCTTTCCCTGAAGCTCCGTCTTTGGTCTCCTCCTTCATTCCT